CAGAGGCAAATACAAATTTGCTTTAATAAAGGTCGAAAATCAAGTCAGTGTGCTGTAATTTAGCTAGCATCATTACACAGATGTCTCAAGCGAGCACTGAAACCCAGGTTGGGCTGCTCTGGGTACAAGCTTGTGTACTTCCCAAGTGTAAATAAAGAAATGGGCCATTAGAACAGAGGTTGGCTAGGTAGTTCCTACAAGTCTAAGAAACCCTGTTTAGTGGTGTCAGTGAATGGTTTTCCATACAAAGCTGAGGACAAAGTCCAGAGCCATCATGACCTCATCACTAGTAGTAGCCTTGCACGGCTGTGAAGGATGGCCAGCCTGCCACCCAGGAGTCATGATCAGTTTCCAGAGCTCATGATGGATGTGTCCCTTGTGTGGATGATACCCTGTGCCTAATCTCTGGATCCTTCCTTCTCAATTTGGTAATACTTCTACTCTTTTTTTTTAAAATATTTATTTATTATGTATACAATACTCTGTCTGTACGTCTGCAGGCCAGAAGAGGGCACCAGACCTCATTACAGATGGTTGTGAGCCACCATGTGGTTGCCGGGAATTGAACTCAGGACCTTTGGAAGAGCAGGCAATGCTCTTAACCACTGAGCCATCTCTCCAGCCCAATACTTCTACTCTTACCTTGTGTGGAACTCAGGAACTCACCTAGGATTCCCCAACTCCATGAACTCCCAAATCTTGATATACTGAAGGAAGCAAAATGATTTTTACGAAGTGGTCCCAGCCCCAGATCACCATACATCTACAGCCTGTGTCAGTTTTCCCTCCGGTCTTCTATATTTACAGCCTCAGGTTCACCCAGAAAGCCTTTGTCTGACACCTCCCAAATTTCCCTTCTCCTCCAGTCATGGAAAACTCTGAAACCCTGATGTCGGTCCATTTGTGTTACTGGAACAGGTCACCTGACACACGAGGGTTCTTTGGCTGATGGTAGCATGTAACAAAAGAACTCTGGCCATGTTATAACACATCCGAGAGGTGGAAAGGGAAACCCTGCGTGGAACAGGGAATGTGTGCAAGCAGCGAAGTCAGAGAATGAGGAGGGGCTAGGCTTACTTTCCGTGCGTGTTTGCATTTTTGCATTCGTGCGTGTACGTGGAGGCCAGAAGTCAACCTCGGATGTCATGCTGTCCTTTGGGGCCACCTGCTTTATTTCTTTGAGGGACCAACCCAGTCCTGCAGAACTCTTCTGAGAGTGGTGTCCCATGACCTCCTCACCTGTCATTTGTCATTTTAAGGCCCCCACCTCCCTGAGACTCACCACTCCTTAAAATTCCCTCATTGGAGACCACATGTGACCCTCTCAAGAGCCCATATCCACAACACAGAAACTTCTATTTAATAGAAATCTAAGGGATTTTTCTTTTGCTGAAAAAATATTGATTAAAGGCTGACTGCCAGCTGGGTTGGGCATTAAGTTCTGGGGATATAATGAATAAGAAATAGGCACATTCTTTGCCCTCAAAAGGTTATAGTTTAGTGTGAGACTCAAATATTAAATCTGAATGCATGGGTAAATACAGAATTCAAGTTGTGACATCTGCTGTGTAGGAGAGTCAGAACTCTGATAGTGTTTGGTTGGCAGTCCCTCAGGATTCTAGGTGACATTTGGGACGAGATTTTGGTACCAAAGCAAGCGACTGTGCAGCATGGAAAAGGGGTTTCCAGGCATAAGTGAGGGAGGACCACAATTCAGCGAGCTGCGGTGAGTAACAGAAGCAAGAACGAGCACGGAAGCACACACATGCTTAGGTCTAGCCATTCTGAACTTCAGCCTTTCCTTTGTTTGGGGCCCCTGCAGAGCTTTTCTTGAGATATTCCTTCTTGTGGTTTGAAGTTTTACAAGCCCCTTCTAGCACAGCTATGTGGAGAATGAGTTTGGGGATGTTAAGGAGGATGGGCTAGAAGTGGATAAGGTGAGAAATAATAGCAGTTTGCACCTGGGGGTGGGAGCTGGTGCCAAGCAGGAGGTGGAGAGGTGGATGGAAGAGGCAGGACTGGAGACTTGCCCAGGGTTTGGGAGGAAAGGAGAGGGAATACCAAGAAAGGATTTTGCCTTAGTCTTTGACGCTTGCAAGGAGTTTGTGGAGAGGGAGCTAGACAGTTTTGATCCTGGTTAAGAGAAAAGGAGAGAGTTAAAGCTTCAAATCAGGTCTTGGACTGATTGCCCCAAAGTCAGGGTGGGATATCTGCCCTCCAGCCTCTGACCTTTGGGGGTAAGATCAAGGTTCTGTAGAGGCCAATGCTCCCTGCTTTGGGACAGGCCACCTCTCCTGCAGTTCGGCCATCCCCATCCGGTGTGTCTTTCTCTGCCAGATCCCAGCTTTCTCTGACTTAATGACTCTCAGTTCCTAGCAAGTTCCTTCCCAGAATCACAAAGGGCAACATTATGCACTCCTCATGCCTGGTGATAACTTTTTATGAGGTTTTTATTCTTTTACAATATATTAAAGCCATATTTTTGCCAGGTTTTTTACTTCAGTTTATTTCTTGCCCTTGACTCCCTCTTCCATTCCCCTCCCCCAGCGCAGGTCTCCCAGGCTGTGCCTCCCCCTACTCCCTCTACCTGAGCAGGTTTGCTCCAGAGATGTTTAATTCTCCTCTAATCCCAATTCCCCGAGGTACATGAAAGTGGCTTTACGAGCCCATAAATCCACAAAGATAAAGTGCATTTTTATTAGTTGTGTTGACATCAAAGGGAAAAAAATAGAATCTAATGTGGAATAGTCAATAATGAATTTGCTTAATAGCCCCCCTCATCACCTTAACAGTCTCGGGAGGCAGTGGTCTCCAAGGTAGAGAGCACAGGGGTGGTGGGCTCGCATGGGAGACAGGCAGAGTGCAGTCCTGGTAGATGCTGCTTCCTCCAGGGAGAAAATATTTTGTGGCAATGGAGCTGGTAAGTTTGAAGGCCGAGTGTGGGAGACAGAGAGCCTGGGGCAGGGGGGTGAAGGGAAGATGTGGGTGGATTAGGAGTTAAACCTGGGGTTCCTGTCATCTACTGCCAGTCTCGGTGAAAGTTCAGACCATCAGGAAAAAGGGAGGAAGAAATGTGGAGGTATGATTTGCCAGCTCAGAGAGCAGGTGATTCTGCAGGTGGCAACATCTCTGGGAAGAGGATGGAGTTCCATAGGTCAAGCTAGGGTCAAGTTCAGCTTGGTGCATCTGTACTGTCTGCATGTTCGAGCCTTGCCCTTCTCCCTCTGGGGCCTCCTGCTCCAAACCCTTATATCCCAGGTCCTGCAAGACTCCATTTGCTCTGTGGGTTAGGAATCCCTTCCACATTTTTCTATTGGCCCAGGTGTTCTGCCTCTCTTTGCAGCTACAGGTCTAGGGTTTGCAGAATTCCCTGACCCTTTTTTCCTGTCTTTCTTCTTTTTCTCCTCTCCCCGCTTTCCCCTCTCATTCTTGAGTTCTTCAATTTGCTTAGCAGAAAGTCTTACCCAGGCTCTTACAGAGAGTGATGTCCTAACTCTATGCCCTTAAGTCAGTACCCGAGAACAATTGGGGCTTTCTCCCATGGTCTGTTTACACTTTTTGTTTTGTTTTTGCTTTTTAAGACAGGGTTTCTCTGTGCAGCCATGGCTTCCTTAAAATTGCTGGCCTCAAACTCCTGACTCTACCTCCAGAGTACCCGTATTAAAGGCATGCACCCCCATGCCTGGGATCAGAGGGCATTTGTGAGGCTGGGTGGCAAGACTCTAGGGATAGCTCAGAGGTTAAGGGTGCTTGTTGCTTTTGCAGAGGACCTGGGTGCAAGACTCAGCCTACAGATAGTAGCTCACAACTATTAGTAACTACATTTTCAGAGTATCTTATGCTCTATTATAATTTCTGAGAGAGACGGGCATCATGTAGAGCCAGCAAAATGCTTACATACATTTAAAAAAGAAAAAGAAAGAAAAAGAAAAAGCTGTGAGGGGAGTTGAGATTATGGCTAATGGCCACTAGATGGCACTAGTCTAACATACAAAATAATAAATCTCTGACTGGGCAGGTCCAGGATAAAGTGTCTAGGAAGAAGTCTATAATGAAAATGTAGGTGTGGCCTGATGTAGGTGTTTGTTTTTGCACGTGGGGTAGGTCCTGGTGGCTGCAAGGTCCCCTCTTGTAGAAACAAAAGGGCTGAAGAGCTGCTGTTTGTATCGTCACTCTCCCTCCTATCAAGGTAGCAGGGTGCTTAACTTCTCCTCACACCCTTGTCCAGGTAAGGTGAGAGCGCCAGGCTGGACATGAACACACTTGATTGCTCCTGTGTCCAGGTGTGACCTTTGGGAGAAGGAATGGCCTCCTGTTTCCTCAGTAGGCTCCAAGAATGGATCTGTAGCTTCAGATAATGTCAAGAATGGTCTAAGGAAGAGACGGTGCTGAGATTGGCATGAGCTGTTAGGAGGGCTTGTGTGCTTGGAAAAGCCCACACCTGTCCATAGAAGTAGACAACCCGGATGGCTATGGAATTTAGTCTACATGATCTCTATTCTCCAGGACTGTGTTGGTGTGTGTGTGTGTGTGTGTGTGTGTGTGTGATAGAGAGAGAGAGAGAGAGAGAGAGAGAGAGAGAGAGAGAGGAATTAAGAAAATAATATACTGTAGGACTGTAGTTTAATGTTGGTGGAACTAGACTTCTAAAAAGTGGGTCCAGCAGGACTTGAGCTCGTCCTTGAGGGATTTAAATAAAAAAGTCGAACTTACCTGGATAAAATAGGAAGGTCTTGAGCTAGCACAATGGGGACATTTTATCTTATGTGAACAGAGTGTTCACATCAGAATCTGTAAGATCTGGGGTCCTGGTTGAATGGAAGCCAGGGGGATGAGTTGGAAGCCAGGGGGATGAGTTGGTTCATGATACCAAAGCATCAGGAAACTACGTCAGGCTGCTGAGCAGAAATGTGGTTTTCCGGAAGTGCTGATTAAGGGAACTCTCTACTATGGCTTAGGACTGGTAGTTGATTGACAGCAGGAATGGTTTTTCTTTTGCACAGTGCATGGCCTTGGTGTTCAGTAAACGCTGAACAGAACGCATAGCAGGAGCCTCAAGGACACTGAGGCCAGCAGGGGACCCCTCCAGGGAGGTGAGCCTCACTGGTGAGTGTGTGCAGCCAGCTGCCCTGCCTGAGTGCCGCCCACACTGAGTGTTGATTTTCCAAAGGCTGCTTTGTTCAGTCGCTCAGCGGAGCATGGGAGATGTGATCACTAGCTGAGAATTACACAGGCAGTCTTTGCTCTCTGCCACTTCCAGTTTCGCTGACACGCTTATTTGACAAGGCCTAAGGAACTGTACCATCCTTTATCCCAACACGGGGCTGCAGCTAGGCTCCAGCACTGCTCCAGGCAAATCCCACGCCTGTTGTGGAGACCCCACTCTGTGGGCCCAGCTGTCTATGGAAGGTGGCACACACAGAGGGTCTGAGTCGCCATGTGAATGGAGGTAGTGAGGTCAGTGCAGGTATGACATGGGACACACTTACAGAATTTAAAGATGCAAATGCAATCTCAGAAGTGAGTTCTACATACGGGACCCAAAGAGCAGGCCTAGCATAAGTCTGATCCTGGGTTTCTCTGGGGTCAATTCAAGCAGAAAGATGGGAACACTTGGGTGTTCAAAGAATAGGCTAGCTGTCAGTGAGCACACATTTACTGAACCCCAATGTAGGCAGGGATGAGTAAGACATGCTTCATAACCCTGTGGGTACAGAGACAAGGAAACCAGCAGTTATAGCATGGCATGGAAATGGAATGTTGTGTCTTCGTTGGGTTGGTGGGATTTGGGATCCCTTTGACGTGGGATCACATTACTGATACGGATCAAAGCAGTAACAATTAGCTGGCTGTCAACAGCAGAGTTCTTCTAAGTGCCAACCAGACCTGGGAATGAAAGGAGCTGAGCAGAGAGGCCCCTTCTGCTGTCAGCACTGCAATAGCAGTCTGACCACGCTGATTACACTTGTCTTTCGGGGCATCCATTTAACTCCTCCTGCATTAGAACTTCACAACCCAAGGCAATAGCCCCAAATGGGCCATTCTCACTCAACCCCCCACAGCACCCATAGGACGACTTCCTCTTTTCTCTAACCAGATGAGCACCTCAAATCTCAGCCATTGTAGATATTGACATGATGCTCTTTTTTTTTCTTTTTTCTTTTCTTTCTTTCTTTCTTTCTTTCTTTCCTTTTTCTTTGCGGGTGCTGGGATTGGTTCATTTCAGTTTTCACACTTTAGGATTAGGGCTGCTTAGCTAGTAAAATCTATGAAGATATTTTCAAATCTCAAAAGCTAAAGAAGAAAAACTTCCGTCTTTATGGTTTTGAATATTTCAGACAAGATACACCCAATGTGCACGAGTGGTCCCTCCTCTCCAGTATTCTTTCCCTGAACATCTGACAGCTAATGTCACCTGATTCTCCTGTTCTTTACTTTCCTACAACCCAGGGAATAAAAGCCCAGGACAGCACAAGATTACAGATGAAACAATGCGTGTAATGAGGGCCAGCCTGGAGAAGAAAATGAGCTGAGCACACAATGTACTTAGAAATAAACCTGCAGGTATAGCTTCACTCTCCCACCTGGGCCTGGCCTCCTCTGCTTGCTGCTGATGGACAGACTCGCTGATACTAACTTTCCAGCTGATTTGCTTGTTGGGACCAATGTCTCTGGACTACATTTCCTTGTTCCTCTTCAGTTTAAGGTGGCTTAGTGATGGTGTGTGGGTCTGTGAGGTGTGAAAGGGGGGCCACGTGTGCTATTGTAGGTCTGGTTGGGAACAACCTCCCATCTATAAGTCCCTGCTTCTCTTCATCCGTGGCAACCCTCCACACACTGCAGATGACAGGGCCCTGAATGGAAGGTACCAATGCCTGGCACCGTTACTGCGAGAAGTGACACTTCTTGCATTAAAACCCTGGAGAGTTGAGGGTTTGTCTCTTAGGATATCTTTTATGACTTCAGCTTGCAACCAGGTTCCTCAAGTAGAGAAATGGGCTGGTGGGTTGAACGATATGAGGAGTCTCTTCAGGATGTAGCATATTCTGTCTTGATCTCGCTGTGAAAGAGAACAGCAAACACTGCAAGAATGACAGTGAGCTCGAACCATAGCACGCCATGCCCTCTTCCTCAGTGACCGACCTTGGGGAGCTCCACGTGTGGCCAGTGGCTACAGACCTCTCTTTTCTGAGCCAGATGATACAGCAGGATAAGAGCTTCTGTCTCACTTTCATAGCAGCAGCGAAGATGACAAAAACAGCCGTTGGTAGATATGGCTTTTGTATGCACTCAGTGCTATATTAGGCATTGTTATTAATGATAATAATTGGGGCTTGAAATCAACAAACACCAGGAACTAATAAGAGATCATTTTAAGTGTGACATTTACTCTCAGTGACATAATATTAGCTCAAATGATGGCATAATCTATTTTATGTAAATCTAGTAGATGGAGATTAAACTTTTTATGCACAGACGAATTAGAGAATAATTATTTTCAAGTCAGTAATCTTTAACTATCAGGTTATTTATCTTCTATTGATTGATACTGAAAGAAAGGGGCCATTTTAGACCCAGAGGTCATCAATTAAGGATTGATTCAAGTAGCTATGAAGTAACCCGAGATGGAGGGAGGATAGTGTCACAATGAACAACTTAAATATGGTTTGTAAAAAATAGTACATAAAAAAACTCGTGGTGCTAAGACATATGAGATACCCTTTCTATGGGGGTCTTTGCATCCCATGTGTTAGAAATCTTCCAAGGAATCAAAACAGACTTTCTGTTGTCACAAGGAGACAGACAGTGCTCCTGTGGAGAGCTCACTCTCAGCTAACAAGTATTTCACAGATGTTCACTTGTGTACACCGTGCTAGGCTAATACTATTCCTCTTCTTCCAGATAGGGAATCTGATGCACAGAAACTGATGCTCCCATTCACAGCCAAAGCCAGAGAGCCAAGCATCTCATATTAGTGCTAAGCTAAGGGATGCGTATTCATGTATGTTTAGGTGTATGTCTCTACGCAGCTGCTTGTGGCATATTAAGCCTGTGTATGTGGAAGCTGGAGTATGAATCACTTCAGTCTTAGGTCTCAAGCATTATCCACCTCCAGTTTTGACACAAGGTCTACTACCATCCTGGAAATCACCAAGTAGGGTAAGCTAGCTGGCCAGTGAGCCCCATGAACCATTATCTTTGCCTCCCCAAATTGGAGATTATAAGTACTCACCACCATGCCCAGTTTTTTCCCATGAGAGTTCTGAGGGTTCCTACTCATGTGTGCCTTTGTCCAAAGTATCCACATTGTATAGACTGCCAACTGTGTAGCCTTCTCAGTTACCAAACTAACTCTTGCAATAATAAAGTGCTTGTGTTCAGTGACTGTTATCTTTCTTAATAATGGCTCCACTGTAAGTGTGAAAGAATACTGCTTCTGGCTATTTACGTACACCAAAGAGGAGCCACAGTGTTAACCTTAAGTGAACATTTATTGTAGATGTATCGGAAATAACATAGTCTCTACAGAGGGTTTGATACTAGCTACAGTTCCAGCTTCCCCTGGTGGTCCTGGAAAGAAGCCCTTAGAGCTAAGGGAGAATAACTTTATGTGAGATGTAGGTAACAACAGTACCACCCTGGAATGGTATTATAGATTTAATGATGCAATATTTAGTGTAGACTTAGTAATGGCCCATTATTCTTAGACACTTAATTATCATCATCGTCTTATTCCGTACATTTGATCCTGGTACCACACTCGATTTAATAAGGCTGGGATAAAACTGCCAAATGCAAGGGGCCAAGGGAGTGACCCCAGCCTAATAATCTTCCTTCATAAATGCTGCTGAATCTCTTTTCTCACCCACTGAGAATCGTGGCCTGGGCTGCATCATGGGACAGAAATGGGGAATAGTTAAGATGCGACACGAGAACTGCAAAGTCAGGGGCTTACTCTCGGGAGTCATTTGAGAAAAGGCTCAGAAAGGTTAAGCACCTTCTCCATGTTTTCAATCCCTAACTATAGGTGGGATTCACACCAGGGCATCAAAGCCCAAGGCAGGGACTCTTTCCACATTTCCTTCCTGTGGGTCCCCCTCTCAGGCTGCCTCTGGCTTTAGAGCCGGTATAACTAAGTTCCAAACTACCCTACCTCCTTTATTTTCTATTGCTGGTGCATTCTGATTTAGATTTCCTTGCCTTTCCCCAGCTCCTGCCTTTCTTCTCTGCACTCCCTTGTCATTTCAGGTCTAATTCCTGCTTTGTTCTCAGAAGACTCCCACCTTCTGATCTGCTGCTCTGGCCACCCATACCATGGTCATCAGCATGACCTTTTAGGTGGCAACTACTATGTCATCTCTCTCTGGGTCCACCTCTCTCCCAACAGAACGTATACAATGCTGGAAATCTGGAAGATCAAATTTTGGGTACAAGGGATCCTACAATGAGTTTTAAGTAGCAGATGGATAGGTGACATGGTGCATGGCGGTAATCCTAACACTTAGAAGTTTGGGTAAGGAATATTCCAAGCTCCAGGCTAACAATCTTTGCTAAGAAGTGGAATCCTGTGATGATGATGATGATGATGATGATGATGATGATGGCAATGATGATGATGATAGTTCTATTTGTGAAAAGGTGTTGGGATCTACTGGCATTGCTGAACTGAAGGTACTGGAACACTATGCAGAGGTTGACAGAGGGGAGCCCAAAACTTTCAAGGTAGGCAGAACAGCACAGTTTTAACTTTCCCTTAAGTGTCATGAGTGGCTGTGAAAATCTTATGGTCCCTGTTGTGGTTTGAATATAAAGTATCCCTCTTGGGTCCCAGCTGGTGGCTGTATTTTGGAAGGTTATGGAGCCTCACAGCAAGAAGTGAGTCACCAGGGGTAGGTCTTGATACTTTGTAGTCTGACTCCACTTCCTTGACCCATGCAGAGTCCTGACTGTGAATTCAATGTGAGCATCTGCTTCACGTTTCTGCTGCCATGTCTTCCTTCCCGCTATGGACTAACACCCTTAAACTGTGAGCCAAAGCAGAGGAAAGACTTTCCACAGTTACTACTTGAGGCAAGAGAGCATCTTCTCAGACTGAGATGCATTCTCTGTGTTCATCCCACCTCCCCTGATACTGGGCTGAAAGAGCCTCCTGATAAATGCACAGTGATAATAATGGGGACCCACTCCCAGCTGCTCCTTATCCGGGCACCCCAACCACACACTCCTTAAAGCACGAATATATTTTCAAACGTTTGCTCTCTCAGGATTTTAAATTATGAGCATAGCTTTAAAGGAAGAAAGAATGTTCCCTGTTGTGAACAAGATCTGAATCCTGACTTACTGTATTGACCTGGTGTTGCCTGGTCACCTGTCCATGCCCTGACTCCAACCGAAACCCCTTGTCCTCTAATTCCTGACCTGACACTACATCCTTGTCCTTCTGTGAATCATCTTTGTCTTGTTCCAGACTGGCTGTGACTGTCATGTCTTCTTTATGACTTCCTTGTTTAATTATTCTGAGCTCATCTCCATCTCTTTCATAGCTCACCTATTCCAAGTTTCCTTCTCTTTCTGTTACTCCAAAGGCCCCAAGTCTTTTTTCTGCCCCTGCTCTCCCAGAGTCCAGTCACAGGCCTTCTCTTATGTTTTTGCTATTAATTATCTTACCTTCCTCTGAATCTCTAATCATCTAGGTTGATGGTCTCTGTCATGGTGGTCTTCTTGCCATTCTGTTGCTCTCTCTCTCTCTCTCTCTCTCTCTCTCTCTCTCTCTCTCTCTCCTCCAGTTCTGGGGGGGGGGGAGAAATGATTTTGACGTGATGAGGGATATCTAGATTCTTGTCCTTAATTCTTGTTATTCACAAGTTTGTATTCATCAGTCTTTTAAGTATCTAGTTGCCATTAGGAAGTGTTAATATGGATAAAAGAAAGTGTGGCACCAAACTTTCTCATTTTCTCTGGGAAGGTAGCCATAGGTGGAGCCATTAAGAGTCAAGGCAATGTGGTTATGCAGTAATTGCAGCGCGAACATGAAGGAGCTCTGAAAGGAGGAACATTTTCAGTCTGAGGTGCTCCAAGAAAGATCCTGTGAAGGGGACCATTGTCTTGACTCATCAAAGTCAGCCAAGAGGAAAGCTAAAACCAGGATACACAGGGGACAAGATGTTTTGAAAATGACCTGCGTCTTGAAGCTATGGCGTGTGTTAGAGTTGGCTGATCTAAGGGGAGATTTCATTGGGAGTCCTGGCTATAGCACTCTGGGTCACAAAATATTTAGAAATGACTTAGAGACCCATCCTGAAACACATTGCAGGTTTAATAGGAAGGTCAGGGGATTTTCCCTGTAAGTGACTAGATATCCCTTAAAGTTATCAAATGAGATTTTACAGATGCTATTTGTAGTTTCATGGCCAGTTCTGGAAGGAAAGATTAGAGGCAACTTTGGATAAAGTTTGGAGCTGCAGCAGAAGTCTTAGAGGGAAGGAATGGAGGGTGGAAGCAAGCTTGAGGGATGCTTAGGGAGTACAAGTAGGAGGGATTGGAGACAAGCTCTTTAGACATGCAGAAGAAGGATGAATGGATGGGGAGAAAGCTTGGGAGAGAACAGGGTATGGAAAGGAGGGTGAGTTGGCAGAAGTTCAGTTGAATGAGTGCAGGAAGTGCAGCTGCAAGGATTCTGACCAGGAAGGAGTCCTTTTGCTTGACAGAAGGAGGAAATCAAAGAATCCACGAGAAGTTCATGTGATACTTGCTGTTCACTGGCACACCAAATTCAAATGCATATATTACTTTAAAAGGTTTCTTATTTTTAATTACGTGTCCATCTGTACGTATGTGTTTTCATATGTGCATAGGTACCCAAAGAGGACAGAAGATGACACTGGATCCCCTGGAGGTGGAGTTACAAGGGTTGTGAATTTATCCATTATGGGTGCTGAGAACAGAATTTGTGTCCTTGCAAGAGCAAGACATGCTCTTAGGCACTGATTTGGCTCCCTGCCCTGTAAATCCTGTTTGTCACTGAGGTTGTTTCTACACTCTCCATAGAGTTACTACTGAAGAGATGATCCAATAATATCATCATTCTATTTTCATAAGCCTCCTCTAATGAATTTTGTTTAGAACATCATGCTAGCATGTGTTTTCTTCTAAATAGAATCTCTCTCTTTCTTCTGCCACTAACAGCTTGTATTTCCCTTTTTACTAGGCCCACTAGGAAACCCAGAGGCCAATTTCCTACAAATCACAGCAAAAAAGAGTCTTTTTTTTTGCATTCAACAAAAACTCCTCTCCTTTGCCTGGAGGACATCTGATTTCTTTTTTGTCTTTATTTTCTATTCCCGTGTATACAACTAGTGATATCTTTAAAATGTTCAATATAAGTTTATTGAGCAAATAAAACCTGCAAATGGCGATTTTCTCCATAAATTGGAGTACTTAAATTGTCATAACATGCGTTTTGCACGTTGTTTTGACCAAATGCCAAGATGTTGCTACAGTGAAACTTCAAATGCTGTCATTATGTAAATATTTCATTTTAAGCCACGGAAAATCCTTTTGGAGTCTAGAGAAGTATAAATTCCTGAAAATGGGAAGAGGCTTATCCTCTCTGGGCCTCAAGTTCCCCTGCTGTGAGGTTCTGACGAGAACGGTGTCTTCTCACTCAGGAGATAGTAGAGACTGAAACTATCTGGAGGTATATCTGTAGACAGAAAGTGACATCAGTAGCAAGGCTTAGTATCTCTTTGTGTTACTCCTGTGGGCATCCCAAACCAATGGACGAGCTATTGGCCATGGAGTTTGGAGTGGGTGCGGTCTTAATTACCTATGGCCTTTTCAACTCAAAGATCTCATAAGTAAGGGGCATGCTTATTCTTAGGTTAAGTTGGAATTTAACATGGTCAGTAAAATTTTGTATTTATAGAGTATAATTGTTGCTCTCAAATGTCAGTGTGATGAAATTTATAATAATCTGGGGCAAGGACGTCCGAGTATGTCTGTCAATGACATCATCTTGATGAAGTCAATTGATACGAGAAGACCACTGACCTGCAGAAGGAGAAAGTGAGCTGAACGCAAGCATCCGTTACTCTCTCCTTCCTGACTGAAGACTTCTTGTGACTCTTCAAACTCTTGCTGCCTTCACTTTTCCCCCATGATGGACTGCCCTTGAAGGGTCAAAATAAACTCTTGTATCCTGAAGTTGCTTTTGTGAGGATATTTTTATCACAGCCACAGGAAAGTCTCTAAGACATACAGAATGGTTTGGGGGTAGCAGGGAAGAGTGACGGGATTGGGTGTTTAATTCACATCTGATACCAAGGCTAGCTCCAGAGATTGTCCCAGCAGGCTTTGCTCCATCTTAGATATAAAAGTTGAGTAGCTGGCAAGAGAAGCAGTAAGGAAGCTGTTGACGAGCAGCCCTTTGCAGAGCTAAAGGGCATCGTTTCCACTTGCTCTACCCTCTGTGTGTTTCTAGAGGGAGAAGGGATGACTAATGAGAATCAGGCTTCCTCCCTGCGTGGCCTGCTGGCTGGCACATTGCTCACAACCCGTGATAAACTATCCCCTTTCTCAAAGGCACTGGTTCATGGTGGATTATTCATGAGTTACCCTGAAAATGTTGCTTCTATTTACATTTTTGAGCTTGGGATACAGTTGTCCATGGGAGGTGCCTGGTTCTGGAGGAGGAATAGAGACACAAAGTTAGAGGAGAGTACGGGAGATTTGCTCTCATTGTGGTGGTGGAGACAACTTTATTTAAACAGTCAAGAATGAGCTCCAGGGTTTCACCATGGCTATGGTTGAACTGGCTGGGGTTTGACAGTCATTTTGACATCTAGTCACCTAGTCATTCAATAAACACTTTCTGAATGACTGCTGTGTAAGACATGGCACACGGGTTGCTCTTGCTGTGCGATTATGCTCTTGTATACTGTAAAGATTTGTTACTCATATTTAGTTCAATAAAATGCTGATTGAACAGTAGCCAGGCAGGAAGTATAGGTGGGACAACCAAAGTAGGAGAATTCGGGGAAGAGGAAAGGCTCAGTCTGCAGTCACAAGACAGAAACAGAGGAAGCAAGATGAGAATGCCCTACTGAAAAAAGGTGCCACAGCATGTGACTAAACTGGACAGGAATTATGGATTAATTTAAGTGGTAAGAACTAGTTAATAATAAGCCTGAGCTCATACTCCAAATTTATATTTAATATAAACCTTTGTGTGTTTCTTTGGGACTGAATGACTGTGGATCCAGTGGGAAAGAAACTTCCATCTACATGTTCTCTAGACAGAGAATATCACATTTTATAATGTATTTGCTATGTCTAGGAATCTTGTTAAACCTGAGATTTAGTATTCCTGGTTTTCCAGTAAAGCCTGGATGTTTGATATCCTAACAAGACCCCACCCTCCAAGGGCTGCCCCTCTTGCTGACACACAGGACACATAGTGACACATGACTTTGGCTCTTAAGGAGTTTGCGCTCAGTCTACTGAGGCAATCAGATGACCAACAAGTTAACTCAACAATTAAGGTAAAAGAGAAAGCCCAAGTCAGGAGACAGAATGACACAGGAATAGGAGTTAACCATTCATTCTGGGTTAGAGGAACAAGGGATGCCTTCAGCATGGGGATAAAGAATCATATCTTGAGGGGTCAGGGAGAAAGTTCAGTGGGGAACAGACTTGATGTTCTAGTATGAGGACCTGTGTTTAGGTTTCTAGCACCCATGTAAAATCTGGGTGTAGTAGGAAGGTAGAGAAAAGAGGATACCTCAGGTTTGCTGTCCAGACAGCCTAGCCAATCAGTGAGCTCCTATTTTAAATCCCATTTAAAAGAAAATGAGGTGGAGAGAGATGGAGAATGACACTGGGTGTCACCTCTGGCCTCCACACGCATGCACACAGCTATGTATATGTATGTGACCTCCTCAGCACACGCAGGCACACATGCACACATGCACGCAGCTGTGTAGATGTATGTGACCGCCTCACCGCACACATGTACACAGCTGTGTAGAGGTATGTGTACGCCTCACTACACACCTGCACACATGTACACAGCTGTGTAGATGTATGTGTCTTCCTCACTGTACCAGCATCTGTCAGGAAGCTCAATTTTAATAAGTAAACAGAGTTGACTATGGCAGTGAGGGCACTTCACAAGCTGAGCGTCGAGTAAAATACAAGACTCTTTGGTGGCTGGAAGGATTTCTGGGCATATAAATGGCTGAGAACCTGAAGTCTTTCTGCACAAAAATATTGGTGAAGTTGCTCCAGGATCAGGGAAAAGATCTAACTTTCACTCTCTTCTCTGTGGAGGACCTTAATGGTGTCAGAAGTGAGGTAAGTCTGGGATGCTTTCCCTTATCCTTGGCCTTGGGAAAATATGGAAATAACCAAGGGAGTGGCCAGCTGATAGGAGACATCATAACTCCAAGTCTATGCTCTGTCCCCAGAGCTCTCATTCGTCACCATCACCCTGGAGGGACTTGGTTTCATAGCTTCCTCTCCTTGTTTTTTCCTTGTTAAAATGTATGCCCTGGTCCTCTTCTTTGGAGAACAAGAACTTTACTTGCAGCTGTCAAAGCCACCTGTGCTCAGCAGTTCTCATCCGAGATCTGGAATGACACACACTGGAGTCCTTCAGCATGCTCAGAAGGTGGTTGAAGATGACCTAAGTCATACCACTTCTGAATGATTTGGTTCAATGGTTCATAGTCCCCTTCCTTCATGCCTGCCTGCCTGCCTGCCTGCCTCCCTCCCTCCCTCCCTCCCTCCCTCCCTCCCTCCCTCCTTCCATCCCTCTCTCCCTCCCTCCCTCCCTCCTCCCTCCCTCCTCCCTCCCTCCCTCCTTCCTTTCCTCCATCAGATGATCTCCCTTCTCTTCTCCTTCCCACTTTCCCCCTCCCCTCCTCTTTCCCCTTACACTCCTATTCCCCACACCTCTCTGCATAGGCTTGCCACATAGGTATTATAACGTACATCAGTGGGGAAAGAGTCAGAGGGGAAGACTGATAAAGGGCATAGTGGTTGGTGTAGCAACTCCCCTCCTCACCTTAGCAAGTGCACAAGAGCAGGAAGACTCTCTGAGGCCTGGCTCATGGCTACTGTTGAAGGGAGGAGGTTTGGGTGTCTTCAAGGTGCATGGATGGCCAGGGTCTAGAGCATTGGATACGCTATATGCCGGATAACACCCAGGCACTATTGGCTTTCGAGATATCACAGATGGACCCCAGGGACACCACTCAAATTATGGGCTGAATGAAGTCAAAACAAAGTTGAAAATTCTTACAAGTTTTGTACAGAAGTTCTACAGTTCAGCTCAATAAACACCCATGGGACCCACTCCAATAAAGGTAGCTCAGCCTCCTAGTTACTTCAGGAAAGACTCCGAGGCTCAGAGGAGGGAGGTAGCCAGTCCGGAAGCACTGGGTTAGAACTAGGTCCCAGGTCTGGCAGCTAGGCTGACATGCATCCTACACATGTGTCCCCTGTGGCTGCTGCTGCAGGCTGCTAGAGATACATGTACACACACAGATAATTAACACCAGCATTTAACCCCCAGCTCCGAGGCTCTGAGGGAAAATGATTTACAACCATCAGCAGCAGCTGTTTGGGAGAACCTGGAAAAGAACCACCTGGGTTATCTCTTCTCACAGGACATTGGCATTTGAGTGCACTAAGACCAGCCTCTGGGATCGGAGCCACCAAAGATGACCTATAATAGCCAGAATTAGATCATTGTCTGTGTAGAATCCTGTCAGGCCATCAAAACTATCCAGGTGTGAAGCTCTGCTCCAGGCTATGGTCAGGGTGAAGTGAGTACTCATGGAAGGAAAGGGTGACTGATTCCAAGGAGTCAACATCCAGGGTACCAGTGGAGTCATAGGATGGGAAGAACATGGACTCTAGGGTCAGAATGATTTTTATCTATCTGCCTGCCTATCTGTCTGTCTGTCTATTGTCCTTCTCTCACACAGTTCCCCCAGCTCCTCCCAACCACTCCCCACCTCTTTCCAACCACTCCCCACCTCCTCTCTCTCCCAGACCCTCTCTTCCTATATTTCCCTTCAGAAAAGAGAAGGCCTCCCAGGGATATTAACTGAATATGGCATAGCAAGTTATAATAAGACCAGGCACAAACCCTCCTATGACTCCACTGGCTCTGGCTTCTGTGGCTCTGGTAATGCGGGGCTGAAGAGTCAGCCATGATTAGCAAAATACCAGAACCATTGGAGTGAAAACTTTGCCTTTCTGGACAATTGATACTGTTTAGTTGGGGCTGAGAAATAAGCCACAATCAAAAAGACACCAGCATCACTGAGGTACAATCTTCTGGGAAGTGTTTCCTGAGAGTCAGCACACAGAAGCTGTGTTCCAGAGGCAGCCAAGGTTGTATCTCATGCTGCCAACCGAACTTGACAGTATAAGAGTCACCCAAATGGTTCTGAAGAAATAAAAGGGGTCATGGGGAAAAAACTGAGGCTTGACATTGTGTGTCAGGACTGCAGTCTCTGAAGAAAGCCCAGGAGAGGCTACCGATGAAAGTGCAGTCCAGCTCCAGCAGAAGACTCCAAGTTTTGGAGATACCAGTACCTTGGGATGACCCCCACCACCAACACCAGGGAAGTAGAGTCAGTCAGAGCCTAGAAGAGAAGCTGTGTATACTCCAGAAGGAGAAGCCCAAGCCCTTTGGAGAAGCCCAGATAAGTGGACCCAGACAGTGGACATGCTGTTATTTCCCCTGTGGGGAGTTTGGTTTTGCTTTGATCTGATTGCCACTGTGCCCTGGTTCTTCCCTCTTGAAATAAGGAAGCATTCAATGCATTTTTGATTTTACAAGAGCCCACAGTTCAGCAATTGATTTTTAAAAGGGATTTTGGGTTCTAAAAGAGACTTTGAATTTTTAAAGAGATCACATTATACAGCGTTTGAATTTGTAAAGACTGTGGGACTTTCACAGTTTGTAGAATGTTTTAGACTGTGTTGTTGATGTTCATGTGTGGTCTTAGGGATGACCAAGAAAGGAAATGTTATGATTGAACAGTGATATGTATATTGGTCAAAATTACAAGGGATCAGTTGTCCTGGCTAATTTTATATCACCTTGATACAAACGAGAACCATT